GTATAGTAGGTTTTGAGATCCGGCAATGTGAGACCTCCTACTTTGTTTTTCTTCTTCAGTAGTGCTTTGCTTATCCGAGGTCTCTTTCCTTGAGACTGGATTTTTTTTAAGGAGGTTTAGAAGGAGCGAACGGGAACAAGGAAAGGAAGAACCTTATTTCACTTCCAAGTTTCATAGTTTGAGGAATGTAAGAGGAAAAACAGTCACTACTGAGAGCAGGAGCAGCTCAGGAGAAAGCCAACTTTCAGCCAAGAATAAAGATGAAAGAAACATTGAGAGAAAAGATTGCGGAGAGAATTTTTGCCAATTATGGGCAGAATTTCCAGAAACACAATGAAAGAGTTTTTAGAAATGCACCAAAATTTATTCATTCATTACTGTGCAGAGGTTTTTACCTCTCAGGATAATAAGACTTTGAATATATGTCCATATACCTGCTATCATGCTGGTGCTTTCATTTATATGCATGCTCAGAGGAACTCCCAGCTTTCCTAGATGGCTTCATCAACAGCAACAGAACCACATGTGCAAGCATTTCCTTCCCCAATAGGGGTTAAGAGCAAACTTTCCCTGATGATAATTAAACTCACCCTGGGTTTTCTACCTCCATCATCAGAAGGGTAAGGACTTTGAATGGGACTAATACATACTTCTTTCCTTTTATACACTGGGTTCAACAGGGAGCCTCAGACACTTAGCCATACCGAGGGGCCCATATCCACAGCCTTGCAACCACCTTGAGTCCATCAGGAAAATTCTCATTATGTTCTTTGTATCCAGAGGTCTCTGTCATTCTCAATAAACCCTCCCAGGTCACATTTGTCTTCTACCCTAGAATCTCCTATAAAGCTCTGCATAGCCCCTATTTGACCCTGTGTTCCACCCTACCCTACCTCTGCACAGTAATGACTGAATAGACTGTGGTGCATTTGCACCAGGAAATAAGGATTTAATGCAAAGAATAAATTAGAGAGCTATGTCAGCTGGATTGGAGACATCGCCATGAGACATTGTTGAGTAAGAAAATTAAGATTTAAAAAAGAATGTAAAGTGTGTACAATATGATCCCATATAAATAAAACAATTACCAATCAAACCCTGTGAATGTATATAGAAGAATACACACTAATCTAACGTATGAGCATGTAGTGCCTAATCCCAGGGCAGTTTGTGAAGATTAGAGTTTCCATGTCTTCTCAGCTCAAGGTTTCCTCAGTGCATAGATATCTATAGTTAGTAGTTATATGCAGACATGTGACTAGATGCCTTATTAATTAGACATGGGAAGGGCACGTGGAAAATTATAAGGCCTAAATTTTCACAGAATTTTTCAAATTTACTTACATAAATCTCAAATACCTTCGTTTTGGGGTCCCTCTTTTGACTCCGCCCACTATCTTCTTCAAACAGTTTGCACCATTGCAACAGGCACTGCCTACTTCCATGCACAAATTAATTTTGTGCATTCTCTTGTTTGCATCATCATGCCATTATCATAATAAGAGCAGTTGATTGTCCCAGGTTGATTTTGCTGTGGTCTAATAGCCCTTCTTTTATGATACCCTCAATGGTAGTTGCTTTTTGTCCTAAATTTGTACAAACCAGATATGTGGCCAATATTACGGAAAGAAACAATGTTTAATTTTTATTACGTATTGGTGCTAAACACATCTCTTTTTCATCCTAGAATATTGTTCCATCAATTGATTCATTTACTCATTTATTTTGATGCAAGCATGCATTTTCTCACTTAGTTTTAAATGGAATTTACTTCTACCTTTTATTTTACTCTCCTTTACATGCTAGTTTATTTATATGGTAAAGCTTGGTAAAGAGGGTTATATGATTGATGGAGAAAGACTGGAAAGCCAAACAAACAAACAAACAAAAAACATAGAAATGCATAACTGCTGCCCTCCCCTCAACAATCACATCTATGTAAAGTTAAATATTTTGTAGGTATGTGTCACCATTCTTCAAAATTAAAGATAGTTAGAAAGACTTTGAATTTTTTTTTCTATTTCTTGTTATCCTATTTATGTTATTGATTTTTTAAAAAAAAACTTGTATTGAGAGATTTTGCTACAAAATTTCTGTAGTGAAGGGTAGGAGGGGATGTGTATCATAAAGGAAACAATCAGAATTATTAGGAGCTAAGTTTCTTTTTATTATTCAACAGTTGCATAAATTGAAGAACTCTATAAGAGATTTATCTTGTGCTATCCATCTTCAGCCAGATGGAATCCAATTATATATAATAAGGTATGAGCATAAGAATAGAATTCTTCTTGGGATAACTTCACATCTGAGTTAATTGCTGAGATCTTTAATTCTCTAATTAAATAATTGAGATCTTTGATTTCCCTAGTCTACTCATTTTATACGTAATCTCCCGGCAGTTGCAATCTCGAAATCAGCAAGCCAGACGTAGTTATCATTTTTGCTAAACTTGAAGATAATTTATTATATAAGATAGCCAAGGATTTTCCTTTACTCTCTTCCTGCATCAAAGCATAACTGTGCAGTGTTTAAATAACTTGAAGCCTGTTGTTATTGTTTGCCATTGAGTCAGACCTGGCTCATAGTGACTCCTCCTTGGGTTTCTGGGCAGTATCACTACGGAAGTAGGTTGCCCAACCTTCCTTCCGAGGAGTGGCTGGTGGGTTTGAACCTCCAGTCTTCTGGTTACTAGTTTTATAGTTGGCACATATCTCATGAGAGTAATGTGAAAAATTTACATAGTTCTTTTGACTGTGTCTACAAAAAAGATAAACTCTCAAGGAATTAAAACATAATCCTCAGTTAATTCAGTGGGAAAAATGACACATTTAATGATATTTCAAATGCAATACTTAGAGCTTGCTATAAAGGGACTCTGCTAGTTATGAGTCATTAAAAAAAAAAAAAAGTTACAACCTCTAAGGATTTATAGACTTGGGAAAATGGTATAGAACAATATTTTCTGATTATGTCTTTTAATTCTTGAGCTATATTTTGGCTGTTTATGTAAATATGTCCCTTTTTTGTCTGTTAAACTTTGTGTATCTTTTAATAATTTCTCAGTGACAATGTAACATTTTAGATAAGGCAATTGCAAAAAAAGTATTTGAATATTTTTCCTTCTATATCACATTTTCTTAACTGTTTTTTCTCACATCTCCATACTAATTGATCTATACTATATAATATGTCTGTAATCTTCACATTGTTTTTGTGTACATACATATGTATGTATTAATGATTATATTATAATAGTAACATTTTAAGTAACTATTTACAACTAGTTCCCAATTTCAACTTACGATGTGTTCAGATTATAACCAACTACACTTATGACCATGCTTTTTTTTTTTTTGGTGGTTTGTGTACTTTTTGTGTATGTATGTGTTAAAATATATCTGTAAGTTTATATGTAATGTTTCCAACCCCCAAAGGCAAAGACTGGATTTATAAAGTTAATTAAAATAAAACGCAATGATAATGAAAAGTAAAAAGAAAAAAAAGAGATATTTGACTTATGTCAGAACAAACTTACCATGGAATTGTTGAAACAAAGCCCCTGTACAAGAAATTTTATTTTAGAGGAATTATTTTAACTGTTTGGAATCAGAAAGCTATTATTTCTTCCAGGGGACAATATCTTCTTAAAATGAAACAATTTGATCTTGCAAAATTCACAATTTATCAAGTAGCAGAAATGGACAAAGGTAAATATAATTAATGCAAATATTATAATTGTCTTAAGTTAAAAAGAAATTCCTCCGTAAAATTCTTACTCTGTTCTCAGTAGCTCTGTATAGACAGTAAGGGGAAGCAATGTAGTTCCGTGGCAGAATTCTTATGTTCCATGTGGGATGCCTGCGTTTGATTCCTGCCCAATGCACTTCACGTACCACTGCCATCTTTCTCTCAGTGGAGGTTTGCATTTTGATATGATGCCGAATAGGTTTTGGCAGAGCTACTACACTAAGAAGGACTAGGAAGACAGGCCTGGAAATCTACATCTAAAAATTAGCCAGTGAAAATGTTATGGGCCACAAAGGTTCCATCTGCAACCAGTCACGAGGACGGCACAAACCTGGCAGAGTTTACTTCAGTTGTGCATGGAGTTGCCGAGAGTCAGGGCTGCCTCAATGACAACTAAGAACAACAGCAGATAGTACGAAAGATGCGTGTAAAAGTCAAAGTTAGATTTGGAAACTTTAAAACTTCTATTTCATATGTGCATAACCAATTAGTAAAATAATGATTCATAACAGTGAATTTTTAAGAGACATTATTCAAGAAAATAATGCTTACAATTTTACTTGTTTATGAGATGTCTTATTGTTTTCTGGTAGCAAATAGATTTTTGTATAATATTGTATAAATAATTTGGTATAATATTGATTTGTTAATCAATTTTATATAGGAATATTTTTAAATTGCTTGATTTCCTTAAAATAACTATATTCTAAATCCTAGCTAACTGGCAAAGATGCCACAAGACATTGAGAAACTTTCCCTTTTCTTTTAGGTCTCATTGAGTTGAGTCCTATACAGCAAGCACTCATTTATTCATTTTGTGAAAACCACGACAAAGCCATTCAGGTCTTACACAATATCACTGTGAGTAAGCCTGAGATAACCATGTATGCTCTATTAGCAAAAGCCCAAATGAAGGCCAAGAGAAACAAGGTGAAAAGTCCTTTGAATAACGTTTACTTAAATCTTGTTGGAATTGATATATTGTTCTTCGTCTGGCTGTTTAAATCCTTTTTACAAAACTAAATTATACTGTTTATTAATGTATTCTTATGTTATAATCTGAGTTGTTTCCATTTGTTTTGTTAGCTTCTAAGAATATGGCTGATCAAAATATTAGTTTTTATGACTTCTAGTAACATGTGGAGTAGTTTTCCAGGATATGCTCATAGGAGTGGAATTGCTGGTATATAGATAATGTTATAAAGTAAAGATGTCACTTTAAGGACTAAGGTGCACCTGACCCAAGCCATGGTATTTTCAGTCACCTCATATGCATGCAAAAGGTGGACAATGAATAAGGAAGAATGAAGGAGAATTGATGCATTTGAATGCATCAGTTATGGTGTTGTCAAAGAATATTGAATATACCATGGTCTGCCAGGAGAATGAACACATCCATCTTGGAAGAAGTACAGCCAGAATGTTCCTTAGAAACAAGGATGGCAAGACTTTGGCTTACATACTTTGGACATGTTATCAGGAAGGGCCAATCCCTGGAGGAAGACATGAAGACATCATACTTGGTAGAGTGTGAGCAAAAAAGAGGAGGACCCTCAATGCTATGAATTTACACAGTTGTGGCAACAGTGAGCTCAAACATAGCAATGATTGTGAGGAAGGCCCATGACTGAGCAGTGTTTTGTTCTCTTGTACATAGAGTTGCTATGACTTGGAACTAACTTGATGGCACCTGACAACAACATGGTCCTTATTCTATGTCAGAACATATTTTTATTTTATCAAATTAAAGCAACAAGGTGTCACTCCTCTAAACTTTTTTACACACTGAACTCACTGTGCTGGTTCCAGAATATAAATATGCCTAGGAGCTCTGGTAGCATAATGCCTAAGGCTAACTGCTAACCAGAAGGCTGGTGGTTCAAACCCACTAGCCAGTCCTTGGAAGGAAGATGGGGCTATCTACTTCCATAGTGATACTGCCTCGGAAACCCAAGGAGGGGTCACTATGAGTCAGATCCAACTCAATGGCAGTGCGAACCTATACGCCCTACCAATCTCTCTGAGGAAATTCTTAAGAGTAGTGAAGGACAATAAGATGGGACATCAGCTAGTGGGAGAAGTGAGGATTTGTTAAGTTTAAATAAGACAGACGGTGTGAGTAGATTTATGAATTCAAGGAGCCAGTGAGGGGCAATGACTTAGAACAGGAAGGAAATAACAGATTGAGCTCAGGTGGGATAGAAGGAGGTGAGGTAAAGAAAACAGGCTGAGGAAGAAGCTCAGAAAAAGAAAAGAAAGGAAACCATTCAAAGACAGGACTGAAAAAGGGTGAAACTGAGTAAAGATGCAGATATATTGAAAAGTAAAAATAAGGGAAATTAAGATCATGACCTGTTTTCTCTATGGCAAGACCACGTGCTGCAAGTGAGAACTGTTGTTGTTGTTATGTACCATCGAGTCGGACCTGACTCATAGCGACCCCTCCTTGGGTTTCCAAGGCTGTATCACTATGGAAGTAGATTGCCCCACCTTCCTTCTAAGGAATGGCTGGTGGGTTTGAACCGCCAGCCTTCTGGTTAGCAGTCAAGTGCTAACAGGAGAATAGATACTGACGTGGCTTCTAAACATGGATTAGCTGCTAAGGGGAAGCAAGAAAGGATACTTAGCATATCCAAATTAAATCTCATTGTGTCTCTGGGCATTTAATACAATTAAGAATATTGGTTAACAGCAATAAGCATTTATAGCTTTTTATAAAGACATATGCAGTGATTGAAGAAGCTCTGGTGGCAGAGTGGTTAAAGGATTTGGCTGTTAACCAAAAGATCAGCAGTTCAAACTCACCAGCTCCTCAGCAGAAAAAAGATGAGGCAGTTTGCTTCTGTAAAGATTTATAGACTTGGAAATCCTAAGGGACAGTTCTACTCTATCCTATAGGGTCTCTAGGAGTCAGAATTGACCCGATGGCAGTGGGATGAGTTTGGTTTTGTACGGTGATTTGTTAATTATCAAATTGCATTTCTATTTGCAAACTTGAATTTTATTTTTTTCATTTTGCTTGTTGTTAGGTGTCACTGACTCAGTTCTGACTCATAGCAATCCTATGTACATCACAACAAAACACTGCCTGGTCTTGTACCATCTTTTCAGTCTTTGCTGTGCTTGAACTCATCATTCCAGCCACTGTCTCAGTCCATCTCATTGGGGGTCTTCCCCTTTTTTTACTGACCCTCTACTTTACCAAGCATGATAACTTTCTCCAGGGATTGGTCTTTTCTGGCATCATGGCCCAAATACATGGGACAACATCTCGCTATCTTCTAAGGAGCATTCTAAGGAGCATTCAAGGTGTACATTATTTAAGACGGATTTTTTGTTCTTCTAGCAGTCTATAGTATTTTCAGTATTCTTTACCAACACCACAACAAAACATCAGCTCTGCTTTGGTCTTCCTTACTCATTGTCCAACTTTCACATGTATAAGAGGCTATTGAAAATACCATGGCGTGGGTCAGGCATACCTTAGTCTTCAAAGCAACTTCTTTTCTCTTTAACACTTCCAAGAGATCTTTTGCAGCAGATTTGCCCAGTGCAATTCATCTTCTGATTTCTTGACTGCTGCTTCCATGGGCATTGATTGTGAATCCAAGTAAAATGAAGTCTTTGACAACTTCAATCTTTTCACTATTTATTGTGATGTTGCTTATTGGTCCAGTTGTGAGGATTTTTGTTTTCCTTATGTTGAGGTGCAATCCATGCTGAAGTCTATAGTCTTTGATCTTCATCACTAAGTCCTTGAACTCTTCTTCACTTTCAGCAAAGAAGATTGTGTCTTCTGCATATTGTAAGTTGTTAATGAGTCTTCCTCCAATCCTGATGCCTCATTCTTCTTCATATAGTCCAGCTCCTCAGATTATTTGTTCAGCATACAGATTGAGTAAGTGTGGTTAAAGGATACAATACTGACACACATCTTTCCTGATTTTAAACCACTCCATATGCCTTTGTTCTGTTTGAATGATCACCTCTTGGTCTCTATATAGGTTCCTCATGAATACAGTTAAGTGTTCTGGAATTCATATTTTCACAATGTTATTCATAGTTTGTTATGATCTACATAATGGAATGCCTTTGCATAGTCAATAAAACACAGATAATCATTTTTCTTTTATTCTCTGCTTTCAGCCAAGATCCAATATCAGCAATGATATCCCTCATTCCACACTCTCTTCATAATCCAGCTTGAATTTCTGGCAGTTCCCTGTCAGTATATTGCTGCAACTGTTTTTAAAATTATCTTCAGCAAAATTGTACTTGCATGTGGTATTATTCCATAATTTCCACATTCTATTGGATAACCTTTCTTTGGAATAGGCATAAATATGGATCTCTTCTAGTCAGTTGGTCAGGTAGCTGTCTTCCAAATCTTGGCATAAACAAGTAAGCTCCTGCAATGATGCATCCATTTGTTGAATAACTCAGTGGGTATTCTGTCAGTTGCTGGAGACTTGTTTTTGGCCAATTCCTTCAGTGCAGCTTGGACTTCTTCCTTCAATACCATTGGTTTTTGATCATGTTCTACCTCCTAAAATGACTGAATATCAACCAATTTTTTTTTGGTACAGTGCCTCTGTGTATTCCTTCTATCTTCTTTTGATGTTTCTTGCATCATGCAATATTTTGCCCAGAGTCCTTCACTATCTCAAGTCAAGGCTTAAATTTGTTCTTCAGTTCTTTTGGATTGAGAAATGGTGAGCATGTTCTTCTCTTTTGGTTTTCTAATTCCAGATCTTTGTATATTTCATTATAAACTTTACTTTGTTCTTGAGCTCCATTGAAATCTTCTGTTCAGATCTTTTATTTCATCCTTTCTTCCATTCACTTTAGCTGCTCTCCTTTCAAGAGCAATTTTCAGAGTCTCTTCCTACATCTGTGTTGGTCTTTTCTTCCTTTCCTGCATTTTTTAATGACCTTTTGCTTTCTTCATGTATGATGTTCTTGATGTCATCTCACAACTTGTCTGGTCTTCAGTCATTAGTGTTCAATGTGTCAAATCTATTCTTCAGATAGATTATTTCTAAATTCTAGTGGGATATAATCAGGGTCTGGAAGGAAGGTCGGGCAATCTACTTCCATAGTGATACAACCTCGGAAAACCAAGAAGGGGTAGCTATGAGTCAGATCCAACTCGACAGCAGTGTGTTTAGTTTGTGTTTGGTTTATAATCAAGGCCATATTTTGGCTCTCATGGAGTTGTTCTAATTTTCTTGAGCTTCAACTTCAACTTGAATATGAGCAATTGATGATCTGTTCCACAATCAGCTCCTGGCCTTGTTCTGACTGATGATATTGAGCACCTTCATCAGCTCTTTCCACAGATATAGTCATTTTGATTCCTGTGTATTACATCTGGTGATGTGCACATGCATAGTCACCATTTATATTGTTGAAAAAAGGTGTTTGCAATGAATAAGTCATTGGTCTTGCAAAATTCTATCATGTGGTCTCCTTCTCCTGTGTCATTCTTTCACCAAGGCCATATTTTCAAACTCCTGATGCTTCTTCTTTGTTCCAGTGTCACATTCCAATCACCAGTAATCATTAATACATCCTGATTGTGTATTTGGTCAATTTCAGATTGCAGAAATTGGTAAAAATCTTCAGTTTCTTCATTTTTGACTTTAGTGTTTGGTGGATAAATTTTAATAGTAGTAGTGCATTAACTGGTCTTCTTTGTTGTTGTGTTGACATTATCCTATCAGTGACAGCACCATACTTAAGGAAAGATATTGAAATGTTCCTTTGATCATGAATGCAATGGCATTCCTCTTCAATTTGTCATTTCCAGCCTAGTAGAACACATGATTGTCTGATTCAGAATGTCCAGTACCAGTGTATCTGGAAATATTTCTTTTCTCTTTTTCTTATGCATAGAAAGGTACACTAGATAGTACATATCAAGATAAACATTTGATTGACTAACATTAGATAAAGCTTTACCTAACTGTTGCAACTTACATACAAATTCAACTTAAAGACAGATTTAGAAATGAACCTCATTCATAATCCAGGGACTCCCTGGATCTGAGATCTTCTGAGGTCTGCATGTCGTCAGGTGAAATGAGGTGGGGCTGTGTGCTCAGAGTTCCTACTAACATTTAAGGGTATTGTGCTGAATTGATATTAGAAAGAAATTTCAACCTTCCTTTCTTTTTATCACTGTAGGAAGCAGTGAAAACATTTAAGAAGGCATTAGATGTCTTTGCTCATTCTGACAAAGGACCAACTGCTGTAGAAGCTTCAGCGGACTGTCTGTATCATTTGGGCCTTTGTTACATGGAAGAAGGCAATTTACAAACGGTATTTTGTATATTTAAGAGCACCGGCCATTTATAATTTGAGACACTGTTCACATTCAACTCTGTTTCAGAAGGCTATCTATACAGTCACTAATCCAACGCTTGCTTTAATGCTAGCAATGTTATGTAGTATTGAATTATTACAGTCAGTCTGCACACTGCAATTCCTAGTACATTGTTTCTTTTAATCAACATCTTGATGCTATTGCTTTGTTGCTTGTTTATTACAATGTGCTGAAGATTGTGTTTCCAACCAAAATAATAAACCTAATTGTAGAAAACATTATTACAAAATAATTTCATCACATTAATATTAGTTTATTATCAAATCAGTAAGTACTTTACATTGACTGTTTCAATGTAATGTGAAATAAATGGAAAAAATCGGCTTCTCTTATTGAATAGGGAATTGAGCAACAACTCAAATCAGATTGAAACTGGTTATTAAGATGGTCAATTTCACTGAAAACCACTTGATTCAATTATTATGTGTATTATCCAGTCTGGTCATTTTACACAATTTTTAACTTCAAAATTAGCAATGATATGGTATTGTTGTAGTTGTTATGCACTGTCAAGTCAGACCCGACTCATAGCGACCCCTCCTTGGGTTTCCAAGGCAGTATAACCACAGAAGTAGATTGTGCCAACTTCCTTCCGAGGAGTGGCTGGTGGGTTTGAACCACCAGCCTTCTGGTTAGCAGTCAAGTGCCTTAGCCACTATGCTACCAGAGCTCTGTAAAATAATTAACATCATCCAATGGCTAATATTGGACATTTTATAGTTCCATCTCAGTACATAAACACATGGAGACACATCATTTCAATCTTTACATTTAATTCAGTGCTCTAAACTCAGAAGGAAGGTTGGGCAATCTACTTCTGTAATGATAATGCCTTGGAAACCCAAGGAGAGGTCACTATGAGTCCAGTCCAACTCGACGGCAAAAAGAAAAAACCAACAAAAACTTACATATCCATAACTTTGAAAAAGAGTTGCACTTGATTAGTTATTCCGTTAAGAAATCCAGAGAATATAAGAAAAGTTACACATCGTTCGATGTTTTTATTCCTTTTGGACAACTAGAACAAAGTCAGCTTTTCTTTACAATATTGGGAAAATTTTGGCATTCCATTGTTCTGAAATTTTTTAATTATGAATTTGTTATAGTTCTTGGATCCTCATGGAAAATGAGTATGTTGGTTCTGATTTTTTTCTAAGAAACACAGCTAAAGAATAATGGTTAAAATTACATCCGAAAGTATTATAACTAACAACATGGATTATGTAGACATTAGTCTGGGAATAAGGGGGGCAGTAAATTATTATAATAAACCTGATCTGTTAGTAAATATTACTTTGGTTTGCTCCATGTATCACAGGGAGCAATGCATTTAAAATGACCAAATTATAGAATGAAAACTTTTAAAAAATTGTTATATACTATAACTTATGAACACTTCAAAATAATGTATTCTGCTCACCAAATGGTTTGCTTTTTAATGATGTACTCTTCTAGGCTTTTGATTCTTTTACAAAAGCTGTCAAAGTAAATCCTGATTTTGCAGAAGGCTTTTATCAACGAGGACTTTGTAAAGTAAAACTTCACAAAGATAACTCAATCCTGGATTTTAATCGTGCAATTACCCTCAATCCAAAGCATTACCAGGTACTTAAATGAACAATATCAGTGAAATGGAGAGTGTGTTAACTTGGCTAAAATGATTGAACTATATACCATTGCTATTAGATAGTAACAAGTGGTTACTTTTATCTACCTTTCAAACAACTGTATTTTGATAATCCAGATATCTGTATTTCCCCTCTGAAGTAAATGGATGGTTTTCAACAAGAAATTATTTGAAACAGGGAATTTAAATATTTAAAACAGGAAATTATATAAAACTGCTTTGTGAGCTGTGATGTATATAAATATTATTAGTATTTAGTATTTCTATTAATAATTATAAGGAGCTCTGGTGGTATAGTGGTTAAGGCATTTGATGCTAACCAAAATGTCAGTGGTTTGAATCCACCAGCTCTCTATGGGAGATAGTTGAGGCTTCTGTAAAGATTTGCAGCCTTGGAAACCCAGTGGTGGTCACTATGAGATGGGGTTGACTCGATGGCAGTGACTTTGGTTTTTTGGTTAGGAATAATTGCAATTTTATACTGTTATTAATTTTATTTACTTCTTATTATGCCATCATATTTATTCTTCTTAATCAAGAGACTATAGAGACAACACAACATTCAATAGATAAAGCTTGATTGGATACTGATTTTAAAAGTCTATGAAACACTTACTGATGAAGATCAAAGACTATATAGCCTTCATTATGCACCACACCACAGCAATATAAAGAAAACAAACCACAGGAATAATAAGCAACATTATTATAAATGGCAAAAATATTGAAGTTATCTAGGCTTTCATTTCACTTGGATCCACAATCAGTGCCCATGGAAAGAGTAGTTAAGAAATCAAACAACTTATTGCATTGGACAAATCTGTTGCAAAGGACCTCTTTAAATTAGTGTTGAAAAGTAAAGATGTCAGTTTGAGGACTAAGGTGCCCCTGACCAAAGCCATGGTATTTTCAATTGCCTCATACGCACACAAAAAGTAGACAATGGGTAGGAAGACCAAAGAAGAAATGATGCATTTGAATTATGGTGTTAGAGAAGAATACTGAATATACCATGGATTGTCCGAAAGAACGAACAAATCTGTCTTGGACATAGTGAAGCCAGAATGCTTCTTGGAAGTGAGGGTGGCAAGATTTTGGCTCAGGTATTTTGGATATGTTATCAGGAGGAACCAGTCCCTGGAGAAGCACATCATGTTTGGTAAAGTAGAGAGTCAGAAAAAAAGGCCAAGCCTTCAATGAGCTGAGCTGATACAGTGGCTGCAACAGTGGGCTCAAGCAGTGATTGTGAGGATAGTGCCGGACCCTGGGGGTGTTCTGTTCTGTTGTCCATAGGGTCACCATGAGTCAGAACCATTTGATGACATCTAACAACAACATGAAATACCTTTATTGTTCATAATTGGGGAAATGTAAATATGGACTTAATATTAATTTGGGGAATTACTGTTCATTATCTTAGCTATATAATGGTATTGTGTTTATCTAGGAGAATGTCTTTCTTTATAAGAGCTACATGCTGAAGAATTTGGGGTGAAGTGTTATGATGTCTACAACTTATTTTCAGTAAAAACAATAAATAAAACAAATATGGCAAAATACTAAAAATCATTAAATCTTGGTGATGAATATATGGGATCATTGCATTATTCTTTCAATTCTGTGTGCTTTGACTTTTTTAAAATAAAGGCGAGTGGAGAAAGTATTTTATATGATCTTTGGATGGCATAGATTTGTTCAAGTACCATCGATTTTGATAAAATTGATGCTGTTACTAAAACATCCCTCCTGCTTTCCTCCTTTCTTTTTCTGAAAAGGCATATTTAAGCCGAGTGGCTTACTATGGTTTGAAAGGCAGATACTCCAAAGCAATCTTGAATTGCAATGAGGCCATTAAAATTTATCCAGAGAGTGTACGAGCGTACATTTACAGAGGTGTTCTGAAATATTACAACAAGGTAAGGCCATTTCTTGACTTGCTAAGGGAGATTTTAGACTAAACAAGTTCTCGGGATGCAAATCATCACTGCCTTTTGCTCTGGGAGGTAGGAGAATCACCGTGGTACAAGGAATGAAGGACAGAGCTACAGAGAACCCTTTACACCATGATAATGCTTCAAAAGAGATTTCAAGTCATAATTTTTCACAAAATAGTCACATGCACATTTTAAGTAATATTTATTTTTAAGAACGTAGTATGTATCCATGACAGAGAATTTGGAACATATAGAAAAGAATAAAGGAAATTAAAATTATTTATTACCACACTATCAAATGGTAATTCTTGAAGACATTTTGTTTATTTGCATTTAGTATTTCTTTTTCCTGATAATTTGTGATATGTATGTTCTAGAATTGGTATTATGCTGCTTATATAATTTTGTGTTTTGTTCTGTTTTTAATATTTTAAAATACAATTTTCAAAGACTTGCATAATAACTTACCATGATACATTTATAACTACCTTATTTTTGGACATTTGGGTTGTTTTCAGTTTTTTACTATTTAGCTATTTAAAATAATACAGTTTTATACAACTGGGTACAAAATCATTGCTTGAGTTTATGATTACTCCTTAAATGGGAATTATTGGATCATACAGTATGTGAGCAGCACTATTGACATGTGATATTGCCAGGAATACTTTGTTTCTCCCTACTTTCCTTTTCTGACCTTCCTTTGTAGCTATTTCATATGAAATATTTTGCAAATAATACCTTAAAGCAAAAGTAAGACCTTGCATTACATGTTAATGCCATGAAAATTACTATCTATATAAATGGATGATATAAGGTATCAGAGAAGAATCAAAGAGAAGCAAAAGAGAACGTGGGTAGAAAACATTACAATGATATGATATGACACCATGAGTGACACAAGAAGTAAGTGCTGGTGGTTGATTATTGGATGAACTTGGCTTGCTTCTCTTTGACCCATAAGGAAGCTAATTCTTTCCTTGCCACCTAGCAACATTGATAATAATGCTCTAAGTTAAAGTTTTTTTAATATTTTTTATTTTATTCTCAGATAAAAGAAGGTATAATAATTCCTGCTAACATATGCTCTTAATTAAGTATGAAAGACTAGCTTGGTTGTCTTAATTTACAGGTGATACACAGACTGGTTAAATGAGTGTTCTAAAAACTCTGGTAGAATCTAGAATTTATTTTAAAATTAAATTTCAGTCCATTATGATTTGCCCTTTTTGTCTAATTGTTTTTTTCTTTGTAGGCATATAAGCTGGCGATTACAGATTTAACAATAGCTATCAACATGGACAGAAACAGTTACATAGCATTTTATAACAGAGCAATATGTTACACCAAAATAAATGAACTTCAAATGGTAAGATTGCCATTTTAATAAACGATATGTTTATAGAATTTTTATTATTTAAACAATATATTTTACTGATTTGCATCATTATGTTTGAATGGGTTTATATTAAAGTTATGTGCAAAATATTTTCTCATTACTTATGTTATAATTTTGAAAAATAACTACTGTGGAAATACAAAATAGTCTTGAGAAATTAAAGAACCATTTCAAAGAATATTTGATTTCTTTGTTAGTGTTCACCAAATTTTATTGTATAATCTCTGCAACAAGTCAAATGAAAATTTCATTCTGCAGTGCTTATTTAAGCATTTAGAAGCAAATATAAATTAAAATATCATTAATACTCATTTGAATAAATATTTCTATTGATATGCTGTGAAAAGAATTTTAAAGCAGTGATCACTAAAAATACTGTTGTTTCAAAATGTCACCACTAGCTAGAGCAATTCCTGGAGGTATTTTTCTTACAATGCCCAGAGTACAGACACAGCAGGAAGCTTTGAGTGACGGTTTGCAGCTCAGGGGACCAGTTGCCAGAACTTGCTGGTGCGTTTTGAATGCCTGATGACTGCAGCAAACCTTTTCCCCGTTTGTCTTTATTAAGCTTCTACCTGCTCAAGCCTCTTTTACATTTTCTGATGCTCTCCTCTTCTGCCTCTCCCCCTTGCTGGTTTAGTCCTTTTCAATCTGGTTTCTTCTGACAGAGGCAGGTGGCCTGTGTCTTCACCTCCTTGCTTCTCTTTCCTTGTTATCATGTGTCTCTGCCTGCTTTCTACCTCACTTCCACAGTAAATGGAGCGTTCTTTTCCGAGACATTTTCCTCACCTCTCGTTTCCTCTGAGAACACACTCTCCAATCTCCTCGAAACTTGGACAGATAAATATGTTTAAAACATTCAGAATTTTAGAGATTTACAAGCTATGGAAGGGAAGAAATTAAGAAACATTGTTTCTACCTTTCTGGTAACAAGACTATCAGATTTCTTGCAGAAATATTGACAAATGAATAACTTTTTTTTTTTTTTTTTTTTTTAAAGAAAGGCATTGTTAAGATGCTTAGAGATAATTAAAGCATCATTTATCAGTGTGACTAAACAGCAGCAGGTATCTTTGAGAACTCTCTCCCCATCCCAGCTCCTGCATTTTTTGAGTAGCTAAAGCTGCAAACAATGGACTGTCAGTGGAGGCGGAGATGACTCCCATTTTTGGTATCTCAAATATGGAAAGGAGCTAATGCTTCATTAATAAAAAAACACAAAACTACTTCAATATAGTGGGACCAAAGTAGAGTAATGAAATATTGGTGATTTCAGAGCTGCCAGGAACTCAAAAGAATTTCATCCAACTGCTTGTTTAATAGATGAGGAAATAGAAGCAGGGAGAGGTTAGAAAGATCATTCAAGTCACAGAGGGATCTAGAGACCTGCATTGTTCTCAGGCTTGTTTGCTTCTGGGTTAACACAGCCTTTAGTTGGCTTTGTAAAACCATCTGACCTCCCGCATGTTCCCTGGACACTAGATACCAATGTCCCCTCCTCTTTTTGTCTACCTTCACCTCTTTCTCAGCATTCCTGCCATCAATAGGCAGGGAGAACAAAATGTCCTTTTGCAGAAAAAGCACTTAGGCATTCTTCTAACATAAGGTTTCACAAAAACCAAGAAAAGGTGATTTGGGGTCCTATCACTCAATACTAATAAAAATAGCAACAGTAACCACTTATTCAGGGTATATTATGTGACAGACTCTTGGCTAAATGCTTTACTAACATGCAATTAAAATATTTTTAAGTAGACCCTTACAAAAATATAATGAATTTTTACTATTCCAGTTTTGCTGGTGAGAAAGATGAAGTTTAGGCTTAAGTTATTTTCTTAAGATCTTAAAGTTAGTAACAGCAGAGACATGATACAAAACGAGGATGGGCCAACTCCCAGACCCATCATCCTCTTAATCATTCCCCGTGTCTGTTCCCTCTGATGTCACACATGGGGCTACCTAGCCCCATAGTGGAATCAACTTGGTGACAATGGGTTAGTGGATCTGTAAGGTATCTTACAGGTTTTACATTCTGTGATTCTGTGAAGGAAAAATTTAGACAACTTTTAGGCTAACGATCTAGGTTTTTTTTTTTTTTTCCCAAACAACTATTGCTCATTATTTTTGCACCCCTGCAATACTTATTTGTAGTTATGCACAATATCCATATAGGATCTTTAATTCACAACTCTTTGAGACTCTTGAGTGTTCAATCGTGAAATACTAGAAGAAAAATATGAAAATAGTAAAATACTATTGATTTGTCATTTTCAGTTAGCATCTACTTCAGGCATATACTTACTTGTACCATATATTATCAAACCATATGGTTTGTTTGGATAAAATATGCAGTAGGCAAATGATTTAAGATATTTACTCCCAACCAAAATTTGGGATACTTCTAGTACTTGGTGCAGATAGATAGTCAGTAAAAACTTGTTTATTCAGTGAATAATAACAACAACAAAAATGTAAAATAATGGAGAAAGATCTGAATTGATTACTTCTCAGCTGAGACTAATAGATTTAAAATAATGAGTGTACTTATCAAAATATTTTAAAGTAATTTTCTAACGTTTTTGTTAGTTTTATTAAGACTCATTTTCTTACTGACTCATCATTCATTCATTCAGTAAGAATTTATTGAATGGTATGTGTAGGCATGGCACTTATTACTGGCCCTACAATGGTGAACAAAATGGATAATATCTGCCCCCATTGAGCATTCATTTTAGTGAGGAAAACAACAAAATACTAAAAAGAAATTTCAAATGATAGCAATTGGTTTGCTTTAATGTTATCAGCCAATTGATGAAACTACTGAGTGAGGGTTTTTAATCCCCCTATTCAGCCCATACTGCTAACCAGAAGGCTGGAGGTTCAAACCCACCAGCCACTCCTCGGAAGAAGATTGGGCAATCTACTTCTTTAGTGAACTGCCTTGGAAAGCCAAGGAGGGGTTGCTATGAGTCGGATCCCACTTGACAGCAGTGAGTTTAGTGAGTCAGCCCATACACAAATGAAAATATTGGGGATTCACAAATAGCATGTGAAATGCAATTAAAATGTGTCACTTATTTAAAAATATCATTGTCCATAATATTTAGCTAAGGAAGCCCTTATTTTGAGCATAAATTATAAGTCAAATGAAAGAACTAACTATGGGATCCTCTTTGGGACATAATGAAGTAAGATGCTAAAGATTTAAATCTAGGTTGCAAGTGATTAATTTATTTTTAGGCATTAACAGATTACAGTGTTGTGCTTCTTCTTGATGCTGGAGAAACTGTAATGTTAAATACCTTCATTAATCGTGGACGCATCTATGCAGAACTAGAGCAATATGGCTTTGCATTAGAGGTAAATTTGTTTACACATAAAAATGAACTCATTTGATCTTGCAATATTTAGTTTTGAAAATTGTAAATAAATTTTCTTGGTATCAAGTGGTATTAATGAGTGATAATTCAATTCTGGTAAGTATTTTATTGAAAGGCTTTGAATGGTTAATAGAATTTTTGCGAAAAATGTGTATTTGTACTTTGTTTTGATTACAGGTAAATAAACAATACATAAAAAGTTTTCTGATTTGATGAAATATATTATCAAGAATATCATATCCCCCAGCAGAGTGTCTATCCCACACACAAAACTTCATTATTTGGCAAATGACATGATTTATGTATCATTTACTCTGCTGTTCAGTTTTAACTCTCATTCACAATTTTCCTCATTGCTCTTGAAAGATATATCATATCTACTTGTTTCAAACAAGGCAGAAAATAGCTGTTCAAAACAGGCTACTGGGAACAGGTTTTTGCATTAGTGGGAACGGCATTCAGAATTGAAATGGAAGATAACATGTTGAGTATTATTTGAAAGAAACAAGAGGCTTAAAATGCATTTCATTATAGAAAAGTTAAACAAAATTCATCATTCTTACTTTTATATTTATTATATATTTTAAGATAATTTTTGAACTAAGAGAGACACAAAGTAAAAATTAAATAGTTATTTGAGATTAGCCTTTAACAGTAGTTTTGATTCTTCGTTTCTGAGGAACTGCAACAAAATCTTATGCAGTGGAGTGTTTCCTATTCTTTTCACCTTCAGATTGCTTGTCTGTTTTTCTACCTCTGGGTCATCTTTGAGATTCTGACCTACAGAGAATCACTTTTTTTTTTTTTTTATTAGGATTTGGGTGAAGATTTACAGAGTAAATTCACTTTTCATACAGCAGTTCACATATACTTTGTCTCATGTCATTGACCAA